TAATCACTTTAAAATTTTACTTTAAATTAGGAAATATTTTATAAATACAGAAGAGTAACTCACCACTCAGATTGAGCAGATATTAATGCTCCGGGGGCGCCCCCCCGCATTTGCTTCAGACTGTGCACAATGTTTTTTAGGAAATAAAAGGTCACAGATGCCACTGAAGTCCATTTCCATCTCTTCCCATCCCTACTCTCAGGGGTAACTTCTCTCTTTAGGTAGGTATTATTCCTATGTGCATATAAGTAGCCACCAACTGTTATTTAAACTTTTATTGCATATGTAAGTAGCCACCAACAACACACAGCAGTGTTCTGTACATTAAAAATTTTTACATTAGTGGTAATGGAAAACATTACTACATTTGACTTTCTGCAACTTGTTCTTTTCTTGTCAATGTCTCTCATTAAAAAACTTGGCTCAATTTGTGTTTGCTAATTATTTGCTCCTTATTGTCTTTAGAAATTATAGCCCTGTACTGCAGAAGCAATGATTATTACAGAATTTTAACTATGAAACTGCTTGTGAGGCAAAGTGGCTCAGGCTTCAGACTGATTGGTATTTGAAGTTATTACACTGGAGATTTCCTTTTACTAAAATCTGAGGACTTTGGCAATCAGAAAAAAAACCCTCTTGAGTCTTATAGTACCTGGAAGATGTATTTCTGGGTGATTGTAATAAAGACTTATTCAGGAAAAAAAATTATCTCATGTTGCTGCCTTCTTAGCTCATAGGAAACTTCCACTGTGAAAGTGTTACCAGTGGTCAAGCTGTCTTTTCAGTAGAGCTATTAGTGTTTGGTCCAGTTGAAATACAGTCTATATCAAACTTCAAGAAGACTTAACCCTAGGTTTGAAACAAAGAAAGGATATATTATTGTTCCATTCTTTAGTAGAATCAAATGGAGAAGTTGAAAATGAGTTTGTTATCCACACAATATATATGCCAACTTCAGTCTTTTGCTTCTATTTTAAGCTTGTAAATTGTGAAGGTCTTAATGCTGAAATTCCTTTGAATTATTACCCATATTTTTAATAGTGGAACACACAGGTAACATTCACTAACATGGTAATGTTAATATGTGAGAAATCACATACTGAATCATCAGGTCAGTGTTACTGTTGGGAAAGCATCAAAAAGAGTAGTGTTATAGTGTGGTAGTCAAGCACTTAAGTCCACGGAGGTATTTTAAACCTTGGGCAGTATATGTATGCTGATACCCATGGTGCTATATAATAGCACATAGTTTTTAAGTTTTATATCATTCTCCTAGGCACTTTATAAACTGTTAGGTGAATGCTGTTAGATGATATTCAGAGTTAACATTTTTATAATTAGAGTGCATTTAATCTTGGTCTCTGTGTCTTTTTTTTTTTTTTTTTTTAAGTAAACTCTGTGCCCAACGTGGGGCTTGAACTCACAACCCTGTGATCAAGAGTTCCATGTTCTACCAGCTGAGCCAGCTGTGTGCTCCTCTGTGTGTGTGTCTTAATAATAACATCTATTAAGTAATTACTGTGCATCAGGCACTAAGGGCTAAAACAAGCACTTTCCATCCTGTTTAAAATGCATTGTCTGATATGAAGCAGAATATACTGTCTGGTTTTTAAAATTTGAGTAGCTTTCTATTATTAAAATAAGTGTTTTTGTTCCTTTGGTTCTTCCCTGCCACCCTGCAAAAAAAATTAGTAGTTATTCAACAAGCAGCTTATAAACAGGTGGGTTTTCCTTCAATACAGGAGAAATTAGAATGTACTGGTAACTGGATGTTGTACACTGTGCCTTTCCAAAGTACGCAAGCAGTTTCCCTCAGAATGTTACAGTAGTAGTGAGATAAATGTCATTTGGCATATGTAGTGTTGTACAGGTATCTTGACATTGGCAGATTAACTGCTTGGCTACCATTAAATTCACCAAAGCTGTTGATGGATGAAAATACGGTTGCCTAGATAAAGATTAAGATGCGTAACTAAACTACTGTTGTCATTCTGTTGGCATAAACTTCAAACTCTGGAAGACTTTTATTCATTCAACTTTTTGGAGACACCTTCCTGCCCCTCACCGCAGCCTCATTAAGTGCTTCATGTCTCTGTTTCTGAATTTTTTTAAAGTCCCTTTATAAATAGGCAAAGTTTTGTTTGTTTGTTTGTTTTTGTTCACATGTGTTATTAAATGGCCAGTTGGGACACAAAAGTTTTACTGCTGTTTAGGAATGTTCCTGGTGTGGGATTCCAGGGTGGCTCAGGCGGTTAAGAGTCCGAGTCTTGGTTTCGGCTCAGGTCATGATCTCACTGTTCCTGGGATCAAGCCCTGCATCCAGCTCCAAGTGGAAAGCAAGGAGCCTGTTTGGGATTCTCTATCTTCCTCTCTCTCTGCTCCTCCCCCCCACCTTGAGAGAGACAGAGAGCATGCTCGTTCTCTCCGTCAAAATGAATAAGTAGGGGCACTTGGGTGGCTCAGTTGGTTAAACGGTCTGACTTTGGCTCTGGTCATGATCTCATGGCTTGTGAGTTTGAGCCCCACATAGGGCTCCGTTTTGACAGCTCAGAGCCTGGAGCCTGCTTCGGATTCTCTCTCTGCCCATCCTCCCCCCTCTCTCTCAAAAATAAATAAGTATTAAAAAAGGGAACGATATGATCTTGGTGAAGTAAATGGTATGAAGGAATATTACCACTCGCAAAATTTATTATGTATGTGTGTTATTTATTTTAAGATTTTATTTTTAAGTAGTCTCTACACCCATTGTGGGGCTGGAACTCACGACCCCAGGATCAAGAGTCGCATACTCTGCTGACTGAACCAGCCAGCTGCCTCTACCACTGGAAATTTTTTTTTAAAGTTCATTAAATGATATTTTTGTTTAGAAACGGACTTATGAAAAGGATTTTTTAAAAACTAAGCTCTATACCCATCGTGGGGCTTGAACTCAGGACCCCAAGAATAAGAGTCTCATATATTACCAACTGAGCAAGTCAAGCCCCTGGAAAGGATTGTTTTTAATGAGCCAAAATAGTTTCATGTTATATGTTAGAGATTTTGACCGTGTGTTACAGGCTTAATAACATACTCTCTAATTTAGGTTAGATAATTTTAGCTTGAGATTAATCATGTTTATTAGTTATTAATAAAATGATTATGGTATAGCTTTTCCCTACAGATATTACACTACTCTCTTGTCCTTACCTAGTTCTGTGGTCTGTTGGTGATCTCAAGGTGCTATTGACCTACACGTGGATTTTGTTTGGACTGTGCAGTGTTTTTGCAAATTTTGCATTCATTGCCATTAGTTAAAATTTGGGAGATTGCACATAAAATCTGAAATTTGTGGCTTTTTTTTTTTTTTTAAGTAATCTCTGTCTCTAATGTGGGGTTTGAACTCAGATCCTGAGATCTAGAGTTTTCATGCTCTACTGACTGAGCCAGCCAGGCACCCCTGTGGCTTTTCTTTTTTTTTTTTTTTAATTGGAAGATCTGTCACTACTAAGTCTGCTTTTCAGTATAGCAATAATTGGTTGGCTCCAAGAATTGGTTACTTCCACCTTACTTTTACACAGAGCCTTCACTTGGCCTACTGTACTCACCTGCTTGGCTGGCCTCTGTAGACATTTGTTGATGATTTAGGGCATCTGTATATTTATTGCTTTAAATTTAGACTTTTCAAATGTCTGAAAATGAATTTGAGTTTCTGTTTAATGCAACAAGTATGTAAAACCATGGTTACAACCAAATTGAAAAATGGGCAAAGGTTATGAATGGACAATTTGCAGAGGAAAAACAATGGAAAAAAAAAAAAAAAAGGAAGAAAGAAACTTTTAGGAAAGATGCTTATTAGTGTTACTAGTAATAAGGGAAATTCTAATTAATGCAACAGTGAAATACCATTTAAGACTCATCAGATTGTCAAAAATTTTTAAGTTTTCAGAGGATAATGAAAGTGAAATTTCTTTATTCTTTGCTCATTGGACTATTAATTGAAAATACTCTAGAGGATAATTGGGTAATTCTTGGTAAAGAAAAAGGTGGATAAGAAAACATGGACCAAGATGTGTATTGTAGCACTATTTTAAATAACAACAACAAAAAAAATGGAACTAAACTAACTTCCTTCAGGACAGAAATGGATAACTGTGGTTTACTTACAGAATGGAATACCACTAGGCAGAAGTTAAAACTAATGAGTTAGATCTACATCTGCCTGCAATTACCCATCTCAGAAACAATGTTAAATGAAAAAAGCGGGTTGCAAAGGTTATATACACTTTGATACTATTTGTATAAAGTTAAAAACATTGCTTGCTGATATTTATATATGTAGCAGAAGTACTATACATACATGAGAAAAAGCTACATTAGCCTTTGGAGAGTGGCTGCAGGGAATGAGGAAGAGAGGATGGGGCTTTCGTTATGTCTGTATTTTATTTTGGGGATCTGAAGCACATAAGACAAAATCTTAAAAAGTTTATTTGGTCTTGATGGTGAGTCATTAGTGTCTGTTACATCCAAAATGTTTCTTTGGTAAGAAAAAAATTTAAAGAGTTTTATGAAGTTTTGACATGGTTTATGATATCACTTTTCTTCCTCTATCCTTACAGAAGGTCTTATGATGGGCTTGATGTATAGGTTATAATACATAATTAATTGCAACCTATGAGAAATGTTTCCTGATTTTTTTTTAATTTGAAAAATTGTAATTGTTTTAAATAAAGGTTCAAGTAGAAAAAATTGCTTTTATTTCGCTCATTGGTCAGATGTTTAAATTCTGTGAAATACTTGTGTTTATTATTGCTTTTAATATAATTTGGAAAGTGTAAATTGCCTTGGGTTACTTAAAACAACTCATTTATTTTTACCATGGTGATGTATAAATACTCAGTCTAGGTTTTAGTGATGTCTGGGTTTTAAAAAATTGCCTGTGACATACATTAGGCTAAGGTGAAGATGTACATGTTACTAATCTAGGCTATTTCTGACACTGCTGGTTTTTCTTTTCCCTTTAGGTGAGGCAGGCAACCAATCAGATAGTGATGAATTGTGCTGATATTGACATTATTACAGCTTCATATGCACCAGAGGGAGATGAAGGTAAGAGCTGTTTTCCATTTGATTTGCTGTCTCTCTGTGTGTATGATGTGTGTATGGTGATATATACATTTTCAGATTAAGATACCAGTGTTTGTTACTTTAGAAATAGGAAACATTTTTAGATGTTCATGGGAAATATTTTAATAAGCTATATTATGAGATTAAGGAAATACCACAATTTTAATTCTACTTCAAACATTAACTTATTTTTTGACTCTAGGCAGATTACATTTTTATAAATGTAAAATACATATAATATAGTAACATGCATATAAAGCCAAAGAGTTATTTTAAAAATAAGTAGTTTGAACATGAAAGATTGGTTCATCCAGGCGGCTTAGTTCATATGTGGTTTTCTTAAAAGTTTTTTTTTTTCCTTCTTGAGCAATAGATTACAACAGGGATAATAAATCTTACTCGTAATGGAGAGAAAAATATTGGCCTTATGAGATTGAATGTGGAGGTTAGACGCTAGATGACCAAGTTAGTTACAGGGTAAGAATATGTTAAAAAGAAACATTATATAGAACACATGGGAATTCAGTTAGCATCTTTAAAATGAGAACTATTTTAGACCTTGTAATTACAATAAGGATTAAATTGAGTAGTCAGTTTTGGCCTGAAATCCTATTCCCACATAAGCTACATTTTTAAAAAGTTGTCAAGTTTGGCAGAAACTCACAAGTATATTGATACTGGAACTGAAGTGCTTTTTACTTTTTTTTTTTTTTAAGTTTATTTATTTATTTTGAGAGAGAGAGAGAGTGGGAGGGAGAGAGAGAATCCCAAGCAGGCTCCAGTCTGTCAGCACAGAGTCCAACACAGTGCTTGAACTCACGAACTGCGAGAGCATGACCTGAGCTGAAACCAAGAGTTGGATGCTTAACCGACTAAGCCACTCAGAAGCCTCATAAAATCTTTTCATTTGATATCCGGGCGCTGGCTGGCTGGCTGGCTCAGTTGGTGGAGCATGTGACTCTTGGTCTCAGGGTTGTGAGTTCAAGCCCCATGTTGTGTGTAGAGCTTACTTTAAAAAGAAAAGAAAAAATCTTTTCATTTGATATCAAATAAGTTAGGAATTTGACCCTTTAATTTCCATTTGGTATTGCTCTTTCCCCTCTCCTTTACTCTGAAAAGAAGCATACAAGTAACATTTTATGACCAGGCAGTATTTATTTCGTGAGTTTTTCTTAGATTGTTTTGTCCATAGAAAGACCAAAAAAAAAAATATCAGTTGAGCAGATTATTGCCAAGAAGTACTGATGTTCGATTGTACATGAGATCAAACTGCAGTGATTTTAAGTTAGAGGAACAGATCCTTCCAATGGACTTTGAGTGAGTGCCAACATTAAAGCAATTGTTTGGTAAATGAAAGAGGGATGATTTAATTTCTTTACCTGTGAAGAAAAATATAAGCACCTTAGCCACGCATATCAATGCAAACATGCTTTGTTACAGGTAGAGAACATTTAAATTTAATACAGAGTTTTTAAATGGTGCCCAGTAAAATACATGTGCACCCTCCAGCTGGCATGGTTTCAGCTCAGGTTTGTTTTTATCTTCCTCTACTAAAACGCCAGGAAAGAATTCAGAGAACTTAAATGCTTTGAATATGCATAACTGAATGGTGCCAAGCTCATACCAGCCTGAATATCAAGGAAGCAGTGTTTGTGTTCTCACTAAGAGGGTCAGAAGAGAAATGAAAGCTTATAGGAAGTAAGGGGATTTGGAGAGAGATTCAGATAAAATATTAATTTTTTTTAGGTACTTAAAATATTTTTTTCAAAACTAGCTAAGGTATATTTTTCAACTCATTTCTCCTACAGCAATGGGAAAAACCTAGGGTCATGTGTAAGCACCTCTAATTTAAGGGATAAGAAAAGGGGAAATTATATTAATGTGGTATTTTAAGGTTTCAGTCAGAAACATAGATTTGGCCTTCTAGATACATACCCAGCTTAATTTTCCCCTTGGACAGAGTAGCATTTCTTGATTTTTACCTTATGGGCGAGTACAACACATTGTTTCTTTAGAAATTAGTAGTTGGAAATTTGACTGCCAGCTCCTTCTAGGACTGTATGAGTTGGCAGGGGAATATTTGAGTCAATAGGACTCATTTTTTAAACCCAACTAATCTCATCTAGTCCGGTACTTGTTAATACTTACAGATTGCCTTCTGCAAAACTGATTTACATATCTGTAGCCGCTAAATCTTGGTGCTTTAAGGTAAAATCAGAAAATCGTTTGAAAGCACAAAATTGTTGCTTCTCTGTGTAAGTTTTTAATTGATGAGAAAAGGCCATCTTATGATATGTGCAGTAACCCAGAAAGACCTATTGGCATGTGTCTCCTTAAACTAAGGCACTGCCTTTTAAACAGAAATAATTTATTTTAAAACCTAATTGAGATCTTTGTAGTATTTAAAAAATGAGAAATCAGTAAGAAAAACGGCTGAAAACTGTTTTTTTACTGTTCTGCACTTCAAGGGTTGGTGAAATCACTAGCACTTAAGCCCCAGTACAAGGAGTGCACCTCCCTACACAGGGCAGGGATTAGTATTGTCATCAGCTTCTGCAAGAGAAATACGAAACTTTTGAGTGCCTGAACTCAGGTCCTGACAGGTAAAGAGTTTTTTAATTTATCGTTAATAGATGGCTTGGGCATAAGCACATGGAGAATGATCACTTGAAAGTTTTGTACCAACTTTTCCCTTAGTGTATACTCTGTCAGGTATGTTTGTGGCATTAGCTGTATAAGGAAACAATTTTCCATTGGCGACATAATATTTCATAGAAGGTTCTAATACATACTTTCAGGTCCACTAGTATCACTTTGGTTTATTTGTAAGGCATGTAAATTTTAACACATTTATTCTTGAAGTAGAATTCTATTTTTCAGTGTGTGCATAAGAGCATATGTATGGGTTTAATGAAAGGAAACAGCTTAGTCAGAAATACTGCCAGATATTAATAATTCAGAACAAAACTATTAACTTGAAAAAAAGGAATGGTTCCTAACACTTGATCATAAGCTTCAAAAGGCCTTTATAAGCCTATTAGTAATATATATTCTGGCATACAGTTAAGTGTGGTTGAGGAATAACATTAATAAACTACCATTTCTTTGCAATAGAGTTGTTTTTGTCATCATTCGGAAAATACATGCATGACCAATTAAGTGCTAGCCCTCAAATCTGGAAAATTGAAAGAGAAGGGAAAATACCCATTTTTTTTTTTTTTTTTAATTTTAACGTTTATTTATTTTTGAGACAGAGAGAGACAGAGCATGAACAGGGGAGGGGCAGAGAGAGAGGGAGACACAGAATCTGAAACAGGCTCCAGGCTCTGAGCGGTCAGCACAGAGCCCGACGCGGGGCTCGAACTCACGGACCATGAGATCATGACCTGAGCCGAAGTCGGATGTTTAACCGACCGAGCCACCCAGGCACCCCGAAAATACCCATTTTTAATACAAATATATTGAAATATGATACAGAATTTCATAAGGAAATTTTATTTTATTTTTATTTTTTTAATTTTTTAATGTTTATTTTTGAGAGAGGGAGAGGGAGCATGAGCAGGGGAGGGGCAGAGGGGGAGACACAGAATCCGAAGCTCCAGGCTCTGAGCTGTCAGCACAGAGCCCGACGCGGGGCTCAAACCCATGACACATGAGATCATGACCTGAGCTGAAGTCAGACGCTCAACTGACTGAGCCACCCAGGCACCCCCATAAGGAAATTTTAAATAAAGAATCAAAGTATGAGTTTAATTATAAATAACAGTGTAGAGTAGAAGCCTCAAACCAAAGTTACTGTTGGGATTAAGCAAATAATGAAACATGAATGAATTGGACTGGATATAGGAAAACAAGTGTGTTGGAACAGAGGCCAAACCAAAGAGTGCACGTCTCACGTAAATATTCAAATTTTAAAGAACTTTTCTGGCCAGCAACATTTTCGTGAGCTATATTGATTTCTTTTGAATTTGCAGCCTCCCAGGGAACTGTGGTGTGTTATGCATATTCTTTATCATTTGGACATGAAAATAAGACGTGAGCATAGCGGTCTCATTAAAAAGAGCAAAAACCCCGGGGCCCCTGGGTGGCTCAGTCAGTTAAGCATCCGACTTCACTCCAGGTCATGATCTTGAGGTTCACGAGGTGCAGCCCTGCGTCAGGCTCTGTGCTGACAGCTCGGAGCCTGGAGCCTGCTTCGGATTCTGTGTCTCCCTCTCTCTCTGCCCCTCCTCTGCTCATGCTTTGTCTCTCTCCCTCTCTCTCTCTCTCTCTCTCTCTCTCAAAAATAAACATTAAAAA